GCGCCGGGCGCTCTGCTTTCAGCGTGCCCGGCGCTCCGGGAACCCGGCTGCTATCCGCAGCCTAGACAGCCCTGCGGGAACTCCCACAGGGCTGCCTAGGCTGCGGATGTGTTCCCGAAGCCTGGAGAGCGATAGGGGTCGGTGCGCACCGACCCCTGTCGCTCTCCAAGCTTCAGCGAAAGCCTGCATTCGCCCCATAGGATGCACCCAGATTTCCCCTTCATTTTTGGAGGGGAAAAAGTGCGTCCTATAGGGCAAAAAATACGGTATAATGAAATGGGGAAAAAATGTTTAAAATAACTTTTGTTAAAAAACCAGAAGCCTTTTTATTAGGTACCAAGATTCCAAAGGATCAGAGGAAATTTTTCATGTATGCCACAATGGCTGCTTGGATATTGCTAGCCCAGAGATGGAAGAAAGAGACAGCCCCGACCAGAGAAGAATGGCAGATCAAGTTTATGGATTATGCCGAAATGGCAAAATTAACTGGGAAGCTCAGAAATCAAGAAGACAAGAAATTTAAAAAAGAATGGGAAATGTTTATAATGTATATACAAAATCATTGTAAACAGGTTAAAACATTAGCAGGATTTTAAATACACTTGTAATGTAACATAATGTACAGATAACTTAGGAAGATGAAAAATTGGAGAAGTATTGATATGCAGTTGAAAATAGAATTAAAAGGACTCATGGTAGGGATGGGGGCAGATTCAGAGTAATCTCAATATTTTGATTTTGTACTATGGTTTGTTTACTTTTTTGAAAGTCAAATAAAAAAGATAATTAAAAAATAAATTAAAGCTGCATAAGCTGGTTCCTACACGCATTCGCACAACTTTTTTTATTTTCTACCCAGGCAAACCAGAAATGCGACCAACTTTCAAAGACTCATGCCAGTCAGGTAAAGCACGAAAAGAAGGTTGCGTAGAGGTGGGACCTAAGGAGAAGGGGTGTAGCTGGGGAGTGTTCCAAGAGCCAAACAGAGAGGACTGGAGGGTGACATTTGGTTCGTGGGACTGAGCTGCCCTCATCCCCGCTTTCCCCTCTTCTTGACTGAGACTGAAGGCTTGGCTCTTCAGCAGAGATTGCATTGCCTTTGATTTTCTCCCCTGATTTCTTTTCTCATGCTACGAGGTGCAGGAAACGTCTAGTTCTGTATGTGTTTTTCTTTTTTTAAGCTGAGATTTCTGTTGTGACTCATTCAGCGTATCCACTGGAAGACAGGAAGGTCTTCCCCAGATCATCGTTTCACTCCTGGTGGTGATTTTAAAGAGAACCATCTATCCCCCCCCATCTCCTCTTGCCACCCTGTTCCCACTTCCTCCATCCCACACCAGAATACTTAAAGGCTGGCTCCTGCACTGCCGTTCCTTTGTGGCCACTTTGCTCGCTCTGCAATCAAGTTTCTGCCAACATGTTCTAAAATTACATAGTTTATGTCTGAGTGGAAGACTAGTGGGTGCTGAAGCTCTGCTGTGTGAGTGGTCAGTCTGTTCATACTTTCCTGTGAGTTGGACTCCTTCTTGGTCATCACAACTCCTGCCAAGGAAAACATCTCCTCTTATAAACACGATGTGTATAATTTTACTGGGCTGAGGGCGGTGGTGGCGAAAGTTAGCACTTTGCCGTTTCAGCACTGCCCACTAACAGGTTTCTTCAGATCCTTACTAAGTGAGTCACGAAGGGACTCTGCTAAGAATGACTCAAAAAGCATCCCACAGTTTATTACACAATTTGGTGAAGTTTTATGAGGTAGCACTGAGTGTCCCATGGAAAGGAATTCCGTCCCTGATGCCTACTAGGAGGTATCTCATTTGCCAGTCAAAGACCTCGTATTCATCATTGTCCTTTCATATTTCCTTCCTAAACTTTTCAATGTTCTCCAGATGAACAATTGCCTTAGCATTGTCTCAACAGGGACAAGACGGGTTGAAAGAAAACCAGATGTTTGTAGAAGGTGCGATGAATGATTAAACAAGAAGCCCTTCCTTGCAAAAGCAACCCCTCTGGTGGTCTGCTCAATAGCAAGACATATTTGTAAATGGTATTATTCACATAGCCATTTGGGGAGGGCATGGAGTTGGCCTGGTCAGCAAAATGTCACTTTCTTTCTTACTTCAAACTATGAAGCTGTAGAAGGGCACAAATTAAAAAAAACAACCCAAAAAACACCTTAACAAAGCTGTCACTAGTAAGGCTGCCAAGTTGTGATTTTATACACACCTGGTGAGCAGAGACAGGGATGGGAATGACTAGTCAAGGGACGGAATCTAATGAATTTTTGGTAGATAAGTAGGTACACTCCTGAGGGTTTTAAAAAATATTATTTGTATTAGTTTTTCAAAGGTTTTAACGAATTTACTTAAATATAAGTGAATGATATATTTTATGTTTTCTTTTTGGCTTCCCACCCCTTCCGCCCTGATGCTTTTATTTTAATCCTTAATTGCTGCATTATACTTTTTACTAACATTCCATCTTATTCATTTTTTCCCTGCCACTCGTATTTCAAATCCTGCTCGCAATTTCATATCGTTAAAATACTTTGACAGATAGTTCAAAAAGGCCTCCAATTTCCCATAAATGGTTCATCATTTTGATCTCTTGGTTTTCCACTCAATTTCACCATTTCAGCATAATCCATTAATTTTATAAGCCATTTTTCTTTGGTTGGAATCTCGTCCTCTTTCCATTTTTGTGCATCACCCCTGAGGGTTTTGATGGGTCAAGGGAGGCAGGATCTAGTAGGTTTTTCTTTTTTAAAAAACAGGGTAGGGTTGATTAGGAGCTTCTGGGGAGGTGGTGTACTTGGATGGCGAATTGCAATCACCGTCTTGCCATCAAGTGGAATGGCATTTAATAGGGTAACAGCAGCTGTTGAATGTATCTCATCAGTGGGGACTCTTTTGACTTGTAAATATTAGGTTTTCGGTTAAAGGCATACAATGCTATGGAATGAAGAGTTCCAAGAGGACAGCTTGGAAATATCTGTCATCTCTCAAAAAGTTCCAAAAAGCAAACAGGAGACAAAGTATTATCTACCCTGAGAGTTCAGCAGTCATGTGGTGCAGTTTTTGTTGGTCTGTACCATTTCAGAGTGCAGAAATGCTTCCCCAGATTTTTAAAAAGGAAAACACTAATTCTGTACCTACAAAATTGACACATCCAAAAAAAAAGGATAATGTCAATGTAGGTGTATGCCTGCTCCCCACTAAACTGTGTCCAACATGGCTCCCAACATATCAAATGAACAAGAAGTCCAACTCAAAAACCTTTTAGAAACAATTATACATCATCACAATAAAAAAATAAATCATTCCATGTAACATTATGTGAAGTAATACAAAAGAGCGAACATAATTTAGCAGCTTAAACTAAGCAATATTTTATAAAATATTGTTATGCTCCACCCTAAATTCCAAGCATGAGAGATTTCCCGGGGTGCCTGCACTTATCCAGAGTTTGGTTTCCTTTGAATAAAGATCAATGGAGACTGTGGAGCCTTTAGGATATTTGGTTTCATTTGCACATATATGCAACTTGAGCACAAAGGTCTCACGGTGTTGATGCTCCCATAGAACTTGCTTCCCAATTAGGTTTCCAGGGCAGCCCCCAAATCCAGTCCAGAGCAAATATGTCTCCATCTCCATCTTTCAGCATCTGGATTTCCTGCTCACATCCAAAATAACTCTGGCTATTGTTCTCCTATGTACCAGCCAGGTGAGGGAAGTGTGGAAAAGACCCGCCACATTTGTCTGTGGCATAGAGCAACATCTTTGGATATGCTAAATTGCGGTACTTAACTAGCCAGCCAAAGCCATTACCTTGAAAAGAATCTCATTTGGCAGGCTTTATGGAATCATAGAATTGTAGAGTTGGAAGGGAACATGAGGGTCATTCAAGTCCAACCTCTGACAATGTGGGAATCTCAACTAAAGCATTCATGACAGAAGACCATCCGCCGAATTCAGCAGGCACACAAGTCGTGAGCTTTTCCTGTGAGTTCTCCTCCACTGACAAAAACAGTGCTGGCTTCTCCACCAATTCCTGCCTCTCCCACTTTTTCACAGCAGGGTCCCAGGTAGTAGAGAAATCAGTTGGCAGCAGCTCATGCTGTCTAACAGACACCTTCAATTTCTCCCACTCCCCTTTTTCCACAGCAGGTTCAAACATATTTGGGACTTACAAGGGGACATGAAGGAAATAAGCCCTTCCATGTTTGTCTCCAAACATCTGGTATTTAGCAGTATACTGGTAGGATACGAGGGACCATGTACATAGATTTTCAACACGCACAGAAATGCTATATGGATTAATGCAAGAAAAACAGACATGCTCAAACACATGCTGGAAAAGGTGATCTCTTTCCTTTGCTGCTCTTTCAGCCTGACGAAAACACTGCCTTCTTAAACCCAATGTGAGACGCTTCGTATAGAAGCACTTGCTCACGAAAGCTGTGTGCCTATTCCACTTGTTAATTGATGGCAGAACTTATTCCAGTCTTTCCGAGATCTGTTTCTTTGAGGAACCCCAGGGAATAAATTACTTCGCACACAGGTATTTGTAGCACTTAGTCGCTTTCGTGTAAAACGCTGAATGCAATATTGTCCTGTGTAAATCTCCTAGGATTAGCACTTTGATTAAACCTGAGACTTGAAATTCTTGCCCAGAAGGAATGGAGACAAAGAGATTTGCTTTGGGGCTCCCTGCACCTCAGAAATGATGAAGGTGAAGGAGAAAACTTGTTGACTCTTGAGTCTGACAAGCCCAAGCTCTAAACGTCTTTTTAATGCAAAAAGAATTTTGAGCAAAATAATTTAAAATATGTATCAAAATGGGTCATTGATAGGCATCAATGCTGACATGGGTAGAACACATCTGTCAGTTAATAAGATCTTGCTCTGTGTATGTAGGGAGATTGATAGCCAGTCAAATGATTTCGAATGTTTGTATTACAATCTGCTTGGGAGTATCTAAATGCAGATGGGAAACTGATGGTGAATTGTATCTAGAGTTGTACACCAGAGGACCTTGAGAAGTTCAGCTTCTTGAGGTGGCTTGGACCATTCTATTTCTATGATTGTGAGACTTTTGTCTTAGTGTTCCAAACTTGGAGGTTAACTTATGGGTCCCTCTGAAGGTTATGCCTTGCAATCTTCTCTTTCAATGGCTTGGGGATGACCAAGGGAGCAAGCCTCAGTTGGTGTTGTTATTCTGCTTTAAGCTTATTTTCTTCCTTTGTTCATGTATAATAAGAACAAACAAATAAAATTAATTTATTGACTATTTATTGACTATGATTCTATGTGTTCTTTGTATGTGTTACCTATTGTATTCAGGTTGATTTGATTCCCACCCACCCCGCAATAACAACAGTATGATTATGTCAGTTTTAATTTGTTCATATTTATGATATCAGCTTCCCATAACCAGTACATATTATTCTATTTCATAGAAATCTGATGTCCAGATCCCAGTTTGCAGCTTTTTGGTATGTTGGGGTGGAATACGGACTGTGTATACCCCATACATTTGAAGCACATTCCCACCCAACCATGGGAACTGTAGTTTGTTAAGGGTGCTGAGGGTTCTTGGGAGATCCTTATTCCTCTCACCGAGCTACAGTAGTGGTTTAACAGTCAATCCCTCTTCCCAGGGAACTCTGGGAATTGTAGATCTGTAGGGGGGACAGTTATTAACTCTCCGAACCCTTAACAAGTTACAGTGCCCAGGATTCTTTAGGGGAAGACTGTTTAAAATTGTACAGTGGTACCTCGGGTTAAGTACTTAATTCGTTCTGGAGGTCCGTTCTTAACCTGAAACTGTTCTTAACCTGAAGCACCACTTTAGCTAATGGGGCCTCCTGCCACTGCCGCGCTGCTGGAGCACAATTTTTGTTCTCATACTGAATAATAATAATAATTTATTATTTGTACCCCGCCCATCTGGCTGGGTTTCCCCAGCCACTCTGGGCGGCTTCCATAGAAACCAAAAATACAGTAAAATATCACAGATTAAAAACTTCCCTGAAGCAAAGTTCTTAACCGGAAGCACTATTTCTGGGTTAGCAGAGTCTGTAACCTGAAGCGTATGTAACCTGAAGCGCATGGAACCTGAGGTACCACTGTATTACAAAGCTTTAAAATATAGCATGGATTTAGGCTTTATGGACCTTCATTGAGTATGTTTGAGGGTGTAGACCAAGGGGTTCGGCCAAAGACATCACAAAAATGGTGAGTTTTGAAGAGGATTCTGATGGAAGAGACTGGTAGCATAATGCGGGAGTTCTTTCTGGGAAGGATTGGTAAATATTCCAGTTCTCTGCCATCGTCTGAGTCATGATATATTCTTGACATGGCCTTCAGTGCTGTCTAAGTTACCTCAGCCCGATCTTGCCATATGCTTCAAAGCAGAAATACAATTATCCCTTGGAAGTGCCCATTCGTTTCTTCCTTTCCCACTGCCAGTTCTGCGTATGGAGTGTGTGTTTTTTCTTTCCCCCATTAGTGTCCATAGGAAATCTTACTCATCAATATGACTAGCTACACGAACCACTCGATTATTATCCTTCAAACATGCAGAGGGCCTCTTGACTAAACCAGCAGTCAGCGTTAACAGCAGCCACTCCTTCAGGAAAGGAACAAGAATCCCCCCACCCATTCTGTTAAATCAGAGCTTAGTCATTAAAGTTATTAATGGGAAAAGATTTGAGTGCAATCATGGATTCAGTCAGAACAGGTATGGAAAGTTTAGGGATTTAGCCTTTTTTTAAACCCTACTCTTCAGTAAATGGTTTAAATTACATAGAAAAGGCACCACCAAATTTACATGTCTGCTGTAGAGTGATTTTTGATACGCCCTCATTGCAAAGTGTGTGGTGGAATATATAAACTTGTGCCAGCTTCACAACAATAACCCTATCAATTCCCCCCAATCAAACTAGCCAGGGCATGCTGGATTCAGTGTGACAGTGCATTTATCATCTGCTGTAATGGAATATTAATGGAGAATGACTAGGAGTTAATTTTATTAGAAAGATGATCTTGGAGAACTGTTACAAAGGTGTCACAATGAAATTCAGTTGGGGGGGATTTGAGGAAGTCAGATAACAATGAAAGTTAATTTGGATTTTAGAAGTATTAAGTGTTTTTCTTTTTCTTTCTTTTTTCATTTAGTACAGTGGTACCTTGGGTTACATACGCTTCAGGTTACACACTCCGCTAACCCAGAAATAGTGCTTCAGGTTAAGAACTTTGCTTCAGGTTGAGAACAGAAATCGTGCTCCAGCGGCGCACGGCAGCGGGAGGCCCCATTAGCTAAAGTGGTGCTTCAGGTTAAGAACAGTTTCAGGTTAAGTACAGACCTCCGGAACGAATTAAGTACTTAACCCGAGGTACCACTGTATTGTAATGTGTTTCGTTTTGTGTCTTTTACATGTTATATTTGTTATAAATGTGGAAAATCAATAAAATATTTTTTCAAAAAAAAGAGAGAGAATGACTACCTTGCACCCCAGGCGAAGAGCATCTTTGGTACTACCCCTCTCATTTGTTCAGCTTTTGAATATTTATATTTCATTTCATTTTGCAGCCCACTTGACAGTGTTGATGTGTCCTCTGCACGCATGATCCACCTTGTCATGTGAGATCTTGTGTTTCTTTCCGCACGTGTAACAGCAGCAGCAAACGGCAACACAACGATGGCCGTGCAGGTGGGCCCTGCCACCTTTATAAGTGAAAAAGAAGTATTGTAAAATAGTATTTACAAGTCACTTGGCCACTGAATTCCATGAGCTGGTGACCTACCGACTAGAGTACTGCAGCGCGATCTATGCGGGGCCGCCCTTGAAGACTGAGGGTGGAATTCAACATAGCACTAAGTGGGGTACGCACACACAGGACAAGGCCCACTAGTGGAATGTGACTTCCCCTGCCTCCTCTCCCCTCCCTGATAGGTGGTTATATAATACAATAATAATAATTTATTATTTATACCCTGCCCATCTGGCTGGGTTTCCCCAGCCACTCTGGGCGGCTTCCAACAAAATATTAAAATACAATAGTCCGTCAAACATTAAAAGCTTCCCTAAACAGGGCTAAAAGCTTCCCTAAACAGGGAAGTTGGAAGATATCAGGAAGATGTACACCAGACATGGGAATCCTGCAGGATCGATGATGAAGCCTAGTTATGGTTGGACTGCAATTCATCCTTGTCCATTGGCCAGGCTGGCTAGGGCTGATGGGACTTGGTATCCAACAACATCTGGAGGGCCCCAGGTTCCCTGATGTACACCCCCCCCCCAATATAGCATGACAAGAATGGCAAAGTGGAAGATAATCTGCCTTTTCCCTAGGACACGTTGCCTGCTTCCAGATGCGAAAAGAGAGGGGGTGAACCTTATACACTGCCAGGAGCTCTTTAAAAAAAACGTAAAGGTAAAGGTAAAGGGACCCCTGACCATTAGGTCCAGTCATTACCGACTCTGGGGTTGCGGCACTCATCTCGCTTTATTGGCTGAGGGAGTGGCGCTCATCTCGCTTTATTGGCCGAGGGAGTGGCGCTCATCTCGCTTTATTGGCTGAGGGAGCCGGCGTACAGCTTCCGGGTCATGTGGCCAGCATGACTAAGCCGCTTCTGGTGAACCAGAGCAGCGCACGGAAACGCCGTTTACCTTCCTGCTGGAACAGTACCTATTTCTCTACTTGCACTTTGACGATCTTTCGAACTGCTAGGTGGGCAGGAGCAGGGACCGAGCAACGGGAGCTCACCCCGTCGCGGGGATTCGAACCTCCGACCTTCTGATCGGCAAGTCCTAGGCTCTTTGGTTTAACCCACAGCGCCACCTGAAAAGGTGGGGTTTAAATGTAATAAATAATAAGAAATGAGCAGGGCCTGTGTGCTGAGTGGCCAGGTTGTTGGAAGTGCAACAGCAGAGATCATTCAGTGTGTGACTTAAGGGTTAACTGCATTACCAGTAAACCAGCTAACCAAGTGGGTTGAGGAGGTGTTACTTAAGTTCTTAAGGGTGTGTGTGTGTGTGCATGTGTGTGTGTGTGTATCTTTATGGCATGCTCATAAGATAGTAAATAGCCAGGGGATTTTGTTTCGTCCCATAGTTACGCTTTTAGCATAAATTTCTGTTCAGTTACAGTTCTGCCTTACTTCCGGAAATCTCTCTCTGTACCTATGGCGGCATGTGTTTTCAGTTAATTACATTTGTTCCTGATTATTTTTGTTATGGCTGCAGGGAAAGGAAGGGGCCTTACTATCTCTGAAATGTGATGTGAATATCCGCAACCCCCGCCTCCAAAATCCAGCTTTTGATTCATTAACAAACTATCTTTGGGGAGCGGGGGCGGAGGGAGACTGCAGAGACTGTCTGTACCATTGACACGAAATAAAACTCTTGTCTTTCAATACCGTTCCCCCCCCCCCCAGTTGTCTTGTTATAACCCTGGAGACCCTTATTTTCCATATCAATTAAGAATTCCATCTTTCCATCGGAAATAAAATACTTCGAAACTATACAAGTCCGGCAGAAATGAAACCAGATCCAAACTCCATTCAGGATCAGGCTAAAGCTGGCTGAGCTAACCTAAGCCTCACAGAGGGGAAACAAGACTTTAGAATAGTGTTTGAATCACACCACCCTTTCTTCTGGGTTGACAGTACATGTGACTCAGCTGAATGGGCTTAGGATCCAATGTAAGTGGCCCCTCTCTGATCCCACCAGATGCCTCTTTCTCAGGGCTTCTGCCTGCTTAAGATCTGCTGGATCCTAATTCCGCTCACCCGAGCAGCTCTTGCTATAGATGCATGCCTTAGAACTGGGAAATTCCACCTCAGATTATTTCAGAAGCACAGGACTAAATCTGGTTCTTAACACAGACCCTTCAAGTGTCCCTATTTTCCAAGGACAGTCCTGGATTTACATAAGCCACCCCAGTTTCTGGTTTGATCCCCAAATATCCCACTTTTCCTTAGGACATCCTTATTTTCATCAGAGAAACGTTGGAGGGTATGGAGTTATGCGACCCCCGATCCAAGGAGATCAGTAACTATACAACCTTTAGAAAACATCGGAAGGCAGCGCTGCATATGGAAGTTTTTAAAAAATGTGCAATGTTTTATTATGGTTTTATATATGTTGGAAGCCACCCAGAGTGGCTGGGGCAACCTACTCAGATGGGCGGGGTAATAATAATAATAATAATAATAATAATAATAATAATAATAAAAATAGGACATCCCTGTTTTCATCAGAGAAAAGTTGGAGGGTATATTAACACTGATCCTCTGGTCTCTTGCAGACTGTCAGAGTTTTCTGTAGGTACTGTAATTTGCTAAGGGTTGCTGAAAACCATAACTCTGGAATTGCCCAGAACTCTTTGAAGGAAAGAATGTGCTTTGGATGTGTTTTAAAGGTATACTTATGTACACAGTCGGAGAGAGCTGTGTGTTTTGAGCAGCTGAATAGTAAACATGGAACATCTTCCTGGGCTTAGGATATAAGAAAACTGTAGTAGGCTGGGGAAGTCTTCCTGTGTAATTTTCCTGGAGATATTTTTGGCTTGGAAAACAGGAAGGACGAAGGCTGCGTGGGAAGCAATTGTGAAACAACCTCTACTCACAGGAAGAGTAGTAAAAACTCAGCGCATTATTTATAGAATGACTGTCAAGCTGACCAGCTCCCAGAGGAATATTTAACTTACCATCTGTTGCCTCTTCAGTCATTACTACTCAGCTTCTTCCGTCTCTCCAGCTGCTCAGAAGGCCCCTGAAGGAGGGATTCAGAAGGACAGTCGTCTCCTGGGGCTTCTCAGCTGGCAGATGAACCCCCAAGATGCTGGCCTATAAATTCCCCATTTCAAGTGAAAAACCTCTTTTACATTCATCTAAGCCAGTCAAGTAGAAACATCTCATTTCCTCCGCTGGAAAGTCTATACAAGCCCTTCAAGCTATTGGGTAATTTTTGTATCAAAGGCCAAAGCTACTTGTAAAGGACCACCCATAGAATTAACACCCCTTGCTCTCATGGAGGTGGAGAGGGGAACAATATCTCCTTCCCCTACCTGGCCATATGTTTAATTAGGGTTTCAGAAAAGCTCCTAATTAAACATAAGCCTTGTTCCTGAACTTCTTTGGAACTGGGTCCAGTGTGAGGTAGGTCGTCCTCAGGTTAGTCCAGGTTGGGTTGCCCTGATTGAGGTCCCCGGAATCAAGGCTGCAGGGGGGATGTGAGAGGGCTGTGGCAGCCTCCCAATCTACCCCACCTTTGGCTCCGATACAAAGAGCCTTGGGTTGCCCCACCCTTGGCTGACCCTAGGACCACCACCCCACGCTTGGGTCCACGTAAGTTCAGGGGCAGGACTAATTTTTGGTGTGTGTGTGTGTCATTGTTTTGGTTTCTTACTATGGGGTGCATTTTTTAAGCTTTTCTGTTGTAAACCACCCTGTGATCTTCGGATGACGGGTGATATATAAATTTAATAAATAAATTGAATTGAATTAGTGTTCTGAAATCCTAATTAAATACATAGCTAAGAGAAGGGCAGAGACACCCTGGCTGAGATGGTGGGTGCCTCCCTCCCACAGACTCACCCCATTTGAAAAGAAAGCTGCTTGTGGACATCACCCACCCACAAGCTGCAGGATGTTGAGGTGTGGGGAGGCATCAGGCAGGAAGAAGAGCAACAGGCACACAGGAAGTTGGGCCTTCCTCCTCCTGGAAGATGCAGCCACCAAGCAGAGATCTTGACTTTGCTGAAGGGTTTCCCCACCCTGCTTGCCTCTCTTTCCTGTCTGATGTTCCTTCCTGATGACAACCATGGATGGCTGTGGACCACCCAACCAGACCCATAGCAGTTCATGCCTCTTCTTCTTTGACGGTCACTCATAGCCAAGGAAGATTGTCTTCCATGAATATGGTCTTAACAGGGTGTTCATAAGTGACTGTGGAGGCCATTCTGAATTTGCACATCCTTCTACAGTGGGGACATAGGTTTCCGGGTGGGAGTTGATCATGGTGAGGATTTGCCAAACATGCCTTCCTCTTAGCTCTTTTTGCCCTTTGTCCTGAGTTTGTGCTTCTTCAAAGTCTGTGACGCCTTTGGTGAAGGCTGTTCTCCAATTGGAGCACTCGCAGGCCAATGATTCCCAGTTGTCAGTGTTTATACTACATTTTAAAAAAAGATTTGCCTTGAGAGAGTCTTTAAATCTCTTTTGTTGTCCACTGGTATGTCGCTTTCCATTCTTAAGTTGGGAATAGACTAGTTGCTTTGGAAGACGATAATCAGGCATCCGAACAACATGACCAGTCCAACGGAGTTGATGTTGAAGAATCGTTGCTTCTACACTGGTGATATTTGCTTCTTCCAGTACACTGACATTAGTTTGCCTGTCTTCCTCATCTGATGTCAAAGTCCTTCTGAATAGACCTGACTTGGGTAGGACTCAGGGAAATTTTGTCCATAGCATCTCTCCATCTCTCCATCCATCCATCCACCATCTCTCCTCCCTCCCTCCTTCTCTCTCACACACTTTTATTGATATTTTCATTTATTTGTTAACCACTTTGGGATGTCTCATGGGAAAGGAATCATAAACAAAATAAAATAGGCAATTAAATGTACCTGTATCATTTGAAATTAGTTTCCCGCCACCTTGCATTTGAACATTGTTTATGGCATAGCAATTCACCTAGCAATGATTTATACCTTTGAGACAGCAAACAGCAAACTTTCTTCCGCCATTTGTCACAGCAGAACATCCTGGAAGTGGTAGACAGACTTGGCCAAAGATGCCTCTGTTTTCAAACAACTCAGTCCCTATATCTGCTTTCGCAAATGACCAAGTGATTGCTTTTAAAGGTATTAAATGGGTCCAAGTGGCACCATAAAACTAAGTGCCTCCACATGGAACATCTGTCGCCTGTTCCCTAATTCCTGCTATCTTTACAAGGCAGCGTGTGATCTTTTTTAACCCTTTTGCTTCCAGCCTTCTCCTCCTAACAGTTTGCACCACTGCAAACTTTGTTCTGATAAGATCACAATGGATCATTGTGATGCCTTTACCGCATAAGCACATTATGCTGGGTATGGTAGGCAGCTGCAAGACAGTGTGAGGTTTTCTGCAGAGATGGTTTCCTGTGTGTCCCTGAAACTACAACAGCTTCTGCACTTAGATCTGCACTTCACTTGTAACATTTTATATCACATTCCTGCCCCCCACCGCTCATATCTCAAAACCTGTGCGAGATTTCGTTTCGCTAAAATATTTTGACAGATAGTCCAAAAAGGGCTCCAATTTCCCATAAACAGTTCGCCATTTTGATCTCTTGGTTTTACAGTCAATTTTGACATTCCAGCGTTATTCATTAATTTTACAAGCCATCCTTCTTTGGTTGGAGTCTCCTCCTCTTTCCATTTCTGAACATCTAAGATTCTGCCTGCAGTTGTTGCATGCATAAAAAGATTAGTCAATTTCTTTTAAACCTCTGTCCCAATCATCTCTAGCAAAAAAGGCTTTGGGGTTTTTTTGGGGGGGGGGGGGAATCACCAATTTAAACTTCTTTTTGAATTCATTATCTATCATTTCCCATAAACCCTTGACCTTTTCTCCTCACCTACTGCATTTTTTTTAAAAAAAGATTTGCCTTCTAAATAAATAAATAAATCCAAAAGTCAAATCTAATCTGAAATGTATATGAGAGTGAAAGCAGGGGCAAATGGTCAGCTTCAATTCCAAAAACAAAAGGGGAGTGACAAGGGTGGTTACTGGCTCCCCTGCTGTTTAGCATTTATGCAAATGATGCAATAATGGAACTGAAAGGACCAGAATTATTTCCTGTTTCAGTTTTATCCCATAAAGTATCCATTTTGCTATTTGCCAGTGATATGGTGTTATTCAGCATCTTAAAAAGCAGAGACATCACCTTGCCAACAAAGGTCTGTATAGTTAAAGCTATGGTTTTCCCAGAAGTGAGAGCTGGACCCTAAAGAAGGCTGATCGCCGAAGAATTGATGCTTTTGAATTATGGTGCTGAAGGAGACACTTGAGAGTCCCATGGACTGCAAGAAGATCAAACCTATCCATTCTGAAGGAAATCAGCCCTGAGCGCTCACTGGAAGGACAGATCCTGAAGCTGAGGCTCCAATACTTTGGCCACCTCATGAGAAGAGAAGACTCCCTGGAAAAGACCCTGATGTTGGGAAAGAGAAGGAGAAGGGGACGACAGAGGACAAGATGGTTGGACTGTGTTCTTGAAGTTACTGTACCAGCATGAGTTTGACCAAAGACTTGAGATGTATTAAAATGCAGTTTGCCTATGTATACACACACAAACAGGCAAATGCATGCGCAAGCACATGCTTGCATACACCATGCACATCAGGATGGGATAAAACCCACAGATTATTTTAAAATCCCTTCCACTGAACTTTCCAGTCCTGGGTGTAGTGCATTCCAAACAGAGCTGTTGTTCCCTGAAAGGACTCCAGTATACATTGGAAATTAATCAGTTTCAAGGAAATGCAGCTGGGCATACATTAATCTAAAAGCGCCCAGAACACGCAGTACAGACTCTTCCTTTCTGCAAGTCTGTCTCTCTCCCTGTGAAGCTGAAGTGCCTTGAAATGTTCACTGGGCCTTTAACCCTTGCACTGCCCATTACTGTTGATGCCACAAATTAAACAGCAATGTTCGATCTTACACTAGTGAGTACTGCTTGTCCCGGGGGGGGGGGGGAATCTCCTCACAATTACATTTTCCCCAGACTATTTATTCCACAATAGTCATGACTGTTCATGTTTGGTGTAGACAGATGCCCGTAGTGTTGTTTTCAGGGAATAACAGTGCGATCCTACGCATGTTTCTTCAGAAAAGACCCACTGAGTTCAAGCAACTTGGAATAGAATTACAGTGGTACCTCAGGTTACATACGCTTCAGGTTACAGACTCCAATTTTGGATTGCCCTCTTCTCGATGCAAGGGGTTCGACAAGTTGTTCCTCAGGGTCCCTTCCAAACTCTGCAATTCTATGATCTAAAAGGAGAGTTACAGATTGAGGGCCTTCATGCTGACATTATGATGATCCAGCGAGTCCAGATAAATTTAAGTGAAATTGAAATAACCAGTCGTTTAGAATAATAGTTTTTACTTTTCACGCAATAATTTATAAACTGTATTGCTCCAATGAATGCATTTTTAGTGTGAAAACTTTTTAGCGTTGACGTTTTGTGCTGCTAATGCTGATCAAATAGTGGTCCCTACACCCTTAGACAGTTTACACCTCCTGCTAGCAAAGTGCTGTTTTCCTGGATTAATTTTTTTTATCGTGGCTGTGCAAGAGACGGATAAGATGCATTCCAGTGAGAGAAGCTTGTAAACATGTTGGGAGCAGAATGCTGGTCTAAATAGACTTTCAGTCCTATCCAACAGGGCACTTTTATGTTCTTAAGTTTCATAGATCATAGCATAACACATTGGTCACATAAGCGGAAATGGTTTGCTTATTTTAAAAGAATTAGCAAAAGCAACTCACTCACCTGGGCCCTCTTTCGTTGACCCCCACTTCATTATATGAGAAAAGAAACTGATACATGAGTAAAGGATCGTTTTCTCTCTCAACCATCACCAGTATGAATTAGTAGGGGCTGTTACTCTTGCTTGCCCCATTACCCAATCCTTCCTACCCACCTAGACCTAGATCTCACCCTCCTATCTCCTCCCAGGTTGCCCATCCCCATAGCTAACCTCAAATAAATATTTCTATTTACCGTATTTTTCACTCTATAAGATGCACCAGACCACAAGACGCACCTAGTTTTTGGAAGAGGGAAACAAGAAAAAATATTCTGAATCCCAGAAGCCAGAATAGCAAGAGGGATCGCTACACAGTGAAAGCAGCAATCCCTCTTGCTGTTCTGGCTTCTGGGATAGCTGCGCAGCCTGCATTCGCTCCATAAGACGCACACACATTTCCCCTTACTTTTTAGGAGGGAAAAAGTGAGTCTTATAGAGCAAAAAATACGGTATTTCTTTTTAATGAGGCTGCACTGTTGTCTTTGTTAATCAGTTAGATTCCCTCCCCCCAGGACCAATCCTACTAGTGGACTGAGATGGACAAATCTGTTGATTTTGTGTTCTCTCAGTTTCTCCCTTTTTTCTCCATTTCCACATCAGTTGGCAATTAAAAAAGAAATTCTCCTGAAAATTATCTAGCAACTTAGTGCAGGTTTCTCCCAGTATGCAGTTTTGCCTAATGAACACAATTTTGCAAGCATTTCCTCCTAATATTTCTGCACATTACTTTCACTAACATACGCACACCAGGATATGAATTTTTGTACACGTTACATGGTTGGATAACTGAATTGCAAAATTCTTTTTTCACCAATTCTTTTAAATTCATTTTCAGACTTTTGCCTGCATTGCAAAATTCAGAGAGGTGCAGATTTCGAAGGATGGCTACTTTTTAATTTGCTTTCTCTTCCAGGAATTGGCTGGGTTCACCTTTTAATGGGAACTGAATCAAATTTCTTCCCCATCCCTAATGACTAAGGAAAGTCCTGATGCTGGAGGATGTGAATTGTCCAAAGTCCTACGAGAAATGTGGCCACAGGACATAAAGGATAGAGAGAGAAAGGATTTCACTTCCACATTGCTGGCTGTTCTTCCCCTGGTACAATTTCTCTCCCATTGTTTGGACCCGCCCAATCTACTCCTGACATGCCCCTTATGGCCATGAAGCTTTTTTCAGCAACAAGAGATGGACCTGTGAGGTCAGGTGTCTCATGCAGGAACAAACCTCTTTCTCCACCCTCAAAGTGGGGGGTCCATTCCCTCCTAAGGCCCCTGGGATGCTCTCCCTAGGACAATAGTAATGCAGCAACCATATTCCAATAAAATAAAATCCCTGAATTAATCCGTCAGCATATTATTTTCAGATACAGTGGTACCTTGGTTCTCAAACTTAATCTGTTCTGGAAGTTCATTCCAAAACCAAAGCGTTCTAAAACCAAGGCATGCTTTCCCATAGAAAGTAATGTAAAATCCATTCCAGACTTTTAAAAACAACCCCTAAACTAGCAATTTAACATGAATTTTGCTATCTAACAAGACCATTGATCCATAAAATGAAAGCAATAAACAATGTACTGCAGTCACACAATCCATCAATCAGTAGCTGAACAGGGTTGCACACAGTCACAAAAACAAAACAAAAAAGAGCTGCAAAAGCAAAAATGCAAAATAAGTAGCAAAAACAGACAGACCTCACTCAAAATGGAAGTGTGGCACTCAAATTGGAAGCATAACACTCAAACCGGAGCACGTTCGGCTTCCAAAAAAAGTTCGCAAAACAGAGCTGTGTTTGGGTTCTAAGTTGTTTGAGTACCAAGGTGTTTGAGAACCAAGTTCCACTGTATTGGGTGATATCCAACGTCCAGGAGACATACTCAGATATTAGTCCCATTGAAATCAATGGATTTAGCTACTGAAGTCCACTGTTTTCAGTCAGGAGTACCCAACACTGTGTGAGTGGTATTCTGCTTGCATAATGGGATGTCTCGCTGCACTCCCCCCAAATTGGCTGTGGTCCTCAGAGGGCCTCGCCAAACCTCTAGAATGGATTTTGAGGGTGCACAGTAGGGTACATGGGAGAGGAGAGGAAGGGGAGCCATTTGCACAATGGCAATGTTGGGTAGAACTCAACCGATCTACCCTGAATATCACTAACGTTGGATATCACCCATCATTTTTAATAAGACTGCTTCTCAAAATTGCAGGAGGCAGGTGCCATCATAAGACTTTCTCCAAAGCCTGGATTTCGGTGCCGTGGTTAAAGTGAGGTTATACCTCTATACATACCAGAGGGAGGCCTCCTCTGATTCCTGCATCATCTAGCAAGAAAGAAAATTTGCCCTGTGCTTCAGATCGAATGAATGGATTAATTGATGCATTTGTATGATTGATGGATCTAAAAATTCTTTCATCTTCCTGCAGCCCTACTTTTGAAGTTCATAAGCCGTTTGAGCAA